AAGGGTCCCAGCCCATGGATGTTGATCCTAGTAATTCTAACAAAGACCCGTCGATCATTACTATAGAAAAAGTAAAAGAACACATTGCACTTGTTCCATATGGTGAGCTTATTGGAGGAAAAAGTCTAAAAACTACCAAAATTAAAAAGGCGCTACAAACCTATAATATCCAGTATAACAAACAACTTCCAGTTACCCCGTTGGGAAAGCAAGGGGCGAAGGTATCATTTTTGGACAAAGAAAAATTTGACCAATTTCTTAAAATAGAACTTGTTATTCAAGAGCAAAAAGAAGATGATTCGGGTGAAGTGTTTAATGTGAAACTTCAACCTACCCCATTAAAGCCTGAAAAGGTGGCTACTACAAATGACAAGGATAGTGATATGTCACAAAATTCCAATAATCGTACAATTCAAGTGATTGATATTCCTGCGTTTAGACAGGTACGCGAAATTCGTGAGTCCTTTGAAGATCTTGGCGAAATTGAGAAGATTTATACGAGAGGTGCTGGTCTTTACCAAGTTGCTTTTATTACGTATAAGGATGCTACTTCTATTGATTACTTTAAAGAGCAATGGAGTTATCATATTAACAAAGACATAGTTAGAGTTTTACCATTGTTATTGAGCAAAGAGGAACGCGAGCAAAGGAAACAATTCTCGTTAAGATTATCTGGGTTACATTATCAAACTAGTGGTTATGATCTCAAGGAAGTTATGACACAATGTAAAGGGAAAACTTGTTTTATCCCAGCTGTTATGATTCGTGGTAAATATCAAAGATATCGCTATGCTTACATTCATTTTTCTTCGCGAGATGATTTGGTGGCAGACAGACAAATGAATATTGAATTCAAAAAGGGCAACGCTGGTACTCGACAATTATACTAGAGTAAAGAGGAAGATCGCATTTGTAATATTTGCGGTAATCCCACTCATATGGCCAAAGACTGTACTAACAAAGATATTAACAAATCTCATTCTAAACGGTTTGTTAGTGGCGCTGATAATTGGAAAAATCTAAAAAAGTCGTATGCGGATGCGGCTAAATCTAAACAAAAGCCCAGAAATAACTCTAAATCTAATAATAATATTCCCTCTGGATCACGTGATCAAAGAAGATCTCGCAGTAATCATGATAATAATGATGACGATAGTGATGACTTTAATAACCATCCGATGTTTTTAAAATTCAAGGAACAAATTATTAATACTATAAGGAAGGTTGAAGATAAATTGCTCAATATGGAGTTGCTTATTAGCGATACTGGCAAGCAAATTGGTGAAGTTGTTACAGCTCAACAAGCGCTTAAATGTGATAAAGCGCATCCAGTCCCAGTTAGTAAGAAAAAGAAAAATCAACAATTTGATAATAATACAGAAGTTAAAGCGAAAAGACGCTGTAAAAGTAATTCTGAATCGAGTGAAGATGAAGATGAACTTGCGAATAAGTCCAATATTCAATCACAACAATTCCAAAAATCCGATCAAAACATTCAAAATATTGTTGCTCAACAGAAGCAAATACAACAAAATCACCAGGAAACTAAATCCTTACTTTCATCTCTTTACAACATGTTAGCTGGTGGCCCTTCAGCTTCATCATTATTGGGGGATAATGATGAAGTTTTTGACGATTCCGCAATATAATTATTTTTATGATGAACAATAATATAATTTCTTCTTCTAGTTCGAACATTCAACAACAAAAAAATTTCCCCCAAATAGAAAATAACAATCCAATTATTACAAAAGAATCTTTAAAACATTCTTCAATAACGAAAATAGCTACTACGAATATTCGTACCCTTAGTAAAGAAAAATTAATTTTCACGTTAGACACGATGAAAAACAATGATATTGACATATATGGATTAGCAGAGACTAATCTTTCTTATAGACAATCAAAAATTTGGCAACAACAATTTGGTTTCCATGGTTATTTTGATTATTCACAACAAGGGGGTAAAGGTCAAGGCGTAGGAATTATCGTTAGCGATAAATACGATATATTTGTTCATAAAGCGGTTGGTCATAAAGGCCGCGTTTTATATTTAGACTTAAATTTTAGTCAAAAGAAAAATGTTAGGTTAATTCAGGTGTACATTAACGCTAATAAAAAAGAAAGAACACAAATTGAGGAGCTATATCAATATATCGAACATATTATCGATGATGGGAAAAACAGAAATATGGAAATAATCATTATGGGTGATTTCAACATTAATTATAGAAAATACTTGATGTCATTTGTTAATAATAGATGGTATTTCAAATTGTTCAAAATGCTAGAAAACAGACACCTTTTAGATACAATTCCGATATTTAACGAAGATGACGAAAATATATATACTTATATTCCGCCTAATGATTCTAACGAAAAATCAAGAATAGATTATATTTGGGCTTCATTACCAATACTTGGCCACAGTTTAAATAGTACTGTAATAGAAAATGATCATTTTACAACTGATCATAATACTGTCACTTTATCGCTTGATAAACAATTATTTATAGGAAAAACATTACCTAAGATTAACAAAAGTAAAAAGAAAATAACTCGTACTGTGTTTTTATATGATGAAATGGATCAGGAAGATGATGAATTTACATGGGACAATTTCCGTGCTGATTTGGATCATGAAATCGAAAGTATCAAACTCAAGGATCGTTCGATCACGAAAAGAAAACATGTTGATCATGTGTGGGATTCTCTTAGACAACTTATCATGAAATCTGCTAATGAAAATATAAAAAACAAAAAAGTTATAAAACAGAAAATCAAATGTGCTCCTGAGAAAAAGTTGTCAGTTTACTTTGATTTAAGATATATCATTAACCGTATTCAAGAAATCCGCTCATGTATCACAGGATTAAGAAACCATCCAAATCAGGAAATGATCGAC